GCTGTTGATGTATTATCGAAGCCAATTGCAGAATAAGATAATACAAAGGCAATTCTTACTATAGCAGGTCGCACATAGATACTTAATAAGCAACCGGGTAAGTCTTCATTTGTAATTTAGGTACTGGGGAGAATAACTCTTCAGAAAATTTTAATAGTTTAGATAATTATTACAAAGCCTAATAAAGTGAAGGCAAGACTGCCAAATTAAAAAAAAAAATAAAAAATACTTAAAATTAGACAAACTAATTCTACTAAGCTATTAAATTAAAAAATTTAAAGAATAAAAAAGATTTATAAAATAAATAAAAAGCAAATATCAAGATTTACATAAATTTTATAAAAGCAAGATATAAAAAATAGTAATAAAAATAACTTTTAAGTATATGAATTAAACTATAATATAAATTACTAAAAATTGGATAAATATTTATATTAAATAAATATTACTTTATTAGGTTTATTTTAAGAATAAACTAGCTTTAAACATTCATATAGTTTTTAATATTCGACATATACATACTCTTTCCGATGATCACTTAAACCAAAAATTTCCTACTAACAAAAAAACAAAATTTTTGTTAAAGAGTTGTGGTCGATATAGTAGTTTGTCTAAAGGTCAACATTTACTCAGCGGGACTCCTCTAAAAGATGTTTGACATGCAAGCCAAGAGCGTTACTATACAAGTTAACTGGCAAGGTAACAATAAACCCGGAGGTGGCGCCCTTGTATATAAAATCTTGGTGGAGTATGGGCAAAGCCCAACTTTGTTGACAAAACTACTTAACTGTTAACAAAAAACACAGGAGATACAACAAAACTTTTGTTTTTTTCAAACCGTACTCTTTTATTTGGATAAGTGGTTTTCCTCTTCACTTTACTCTCACTTCCCTATCGGTCTTCCAAATTTTTTTCAAAAAAGTGGGAGATTTGGCTTACCCTCTCCAAAAGATCGACATTGTTTACTTTTTAAATTTGGACAACTTAATGAATTGCAACCACGTGTTTTACAAATATGGCACGTTAGAATCGGGCTCACGGCATAGACTCCTAATAATGCCAGCAGGTGGCTTGAGATACGGGTCTACGGACGGCGGCAGCACCTGGCTTGAGATACAAATTAAAATAGGCATGATATAGTTACTCAGAGTCAATCAGAAGGTCAGAAAAAAAAATCAAACATTAAAGCGAAGCTTTACAATAGGGATATACAAATGTTGCATTTGTTATATAATTTTTACACTCACCTGACATGGGTTATAATAGTGTATTTTCTTTTTTTCTCTTTGGGTGCATCTATTAGGACTATTCTATTCTCTTTTTCATCTTTTTCCTATTATATTAGAATACTGTTTAGAATTTATCTTTTTTTTTGGTTATGTCTTTTTTTTCTTTTTTTCTGGTTTTCTCTTTCTTTTTCTAGATATAGTTTTTTTTTTTTTGTAAATGTGGCATATATTTTTTTTTTTATAGAAAAGTAGGAGATTAACTATTCTGCCCGGATTTAAGTGGAAAAAGATTTAAAGAAGGAATAGGTAGTCTTGATGGGCCAGTAGAAACCTTCCGATAAAGTTTTATTTTCTTCAAGTGTAGAAGTAAATATTACGGAGAAGAATTCTGCTTATAGCAGATCACACATAGGTAATTTGGACTTCAGTCACAAAGAGCCAGATGAGCTAATACTTGTAATTTAGGTACTATAAAAATTTGTCCTTAGAGACTTATTTTTTCAGAAATTTGTAATATTTCTCAGTATAATATTTTTAAGCCTAATAAAGTAGAAGCAAGATTGCCGAATTGTTCCAAAAAAAAAAAACTAGCTTTAAAATATTAAAATAAAGTTAAATAAATAGCTTTGTAATTAGATTGTAGATATAGTAACTAGTATAGAATCTTTAGATAAACTACTTAAATTAGATACTAAAAGTATACATATAGCTAATTGTACTTATTATAATCTAAAATAATAAAATAATACTTTTAATAAAAAAATATAGCCAAAGAGATTATTTTAATAACAAAATAATTTGTAACTATAATAAGATTTTTTAATTAATTTTTGATAAAATTTTAAATTAATATATAGTAATAAATTTAAATTATTAAAACTGGTTTCAATCTCTAAATATAATTATATAGAGGCTAATTATATTAGCTTTTTGCTTATATTTTAAATATAATGCATATAGTCTAGAACCAACATCATGTGATCTTTTATAACTATATAAAATAAAAATGACTATAACCAATCATATTAATATTATAATAAAAAACCTTTTCTGTAAATTGATTATTTATGCTTTATATAATATTTTTACAAAAAAAATTTTTTATTTTATTTATTAGAACTTAAGATATTAGCCAAACTATTCTATATATCATAAAATTTTGGCCATTAATATAAAATTTTTTAAAAATTTTTATTATATTAAAATTTAATTGGCTAATTTTATATGTAGTACAAAAATTTTTATTATAAAAAGTTTTAAAATTTTGGCCACTCTTAGTCACGTGATGTTGGTTCTAGGCTACATGCACCATATAATTTTTAAAATTAAATATTATTTATAATTAATAATTTATTACAAATTTTACAAAATTAAATTTTTTTAATATTTATAGCTAAAGCCAAGATTGTGAATAAAAAATAAACTAATTAATCGATATAATAAATAGTTTAATAGTTTAAAGCATTTAATTAATTATTTAAACAATCAAAAATTTAATTTCAAAAATTTAATTAATTTTAAATATTATAATTTAGCTAATATATAGTAACTATAAAATAAATCAATAAATATTAAACAAATAAATATTAGAACAATAAATATCAATAAACTATTAGACAATCAAACAAAAATATTTTTAATTAATCTATATTTATTTATATTTCTGCAGTAAGTTTTTAAACTATTGTCTCTATTTAAAGGTTTTGGTGCTTACAGGGTCTAGACAATAACTAAATAATTATTATACGTTATACATGTATTTTAAAAAATATATAATATATACTAGGGTCTAGATTTAATTATTTATATATAAATGATTGATTATCTTTAAACTTTAAACTCGATTGTTATACATTTAAAAAGTATAATGGTTAAAAAAAATATGGTAGAGAAATTAATTTCTAATATCCAATAAGATTATTTATGAAGTATTTTTAAAATAAACCTTCGCTAATTAAAACTGTAATACATTTATTACACTTGGCTAATCAATTAGAAGATGAAATCAATTTCTAACTCGTACGTAATTAGTCACATCTAAATATTATAAAATGTCACTTTTAAATCATGCATAAAATAGATTAGTTATTTGTACTACTGTTTTACTTTAGCAATATTAAATTTTAATATGCAAGTCTAGATCTCAACAGATTCCATTTTTTTTAGTAATATTAGATTCTTATTAGACAACAGGTAGATAGTTTCGAAAAATACACGTTTTTAATTTATGTATGTCACGTTAACGCAATTAAATTTGAATATGCAAGTGTTGGATTTCAACAGTTTCCTTTTTTTTTTAATCATTAGATTCTTATTAGTTTTATATAACAGATAACAAGTAAATAGTTTCAAAAAAATAAATGTATATACGTCACGTTAACGTAATTGTAAATCCTTATCAGATGAGTGACACAAGGGAGATCAGACTTCGTGCTTTTAAGATAGCTTTGCCGAGATTTTCCAGGAATTTGAATTTGGTAAATTAAACATAAAGATATAATTAATATTAAAGTAAATTTTTGTTTTTAATACGTATAACTATGGATCTATCTTTTAAAAATTTATTACACCTTATTGCCTAAATACAATATGACATGGTTATGTTCTATATACGTATTTGTAATAATATATCTTATTTACCGTAAAATTATTAGATGGAACACATATTTCCGGTTGATTTATGTTTCTTTTATATGTTTGATATATTTTATTTGTTTTTTAATATATGCGCATTCAACCCCTAAAATCACACGTAATTAACTGCATTTTCCCTTACACATAATGTCCCAGGTGTGATGAAGAACTTATTGTCACTTGAATAATGGCATGCACGTGATCTTGTCGTCATATGAAATATTAATATAATATATATATATATAGTATATATATATAGTATACTGTGTATATATTTACTGAACGTTCTAGCTTTTTTTTTTTACCACACTAACAAATTTGACAATTTTTGGGCTTCATTGAATATTTTTATCACTCATTCTTCCAATAAACGCTATGCATATTTTTGAGTTTCATCGCCAGATATTTTTGGATGCCTTAATAAATGCTATTAATGTTTATAATAGATGAGCAAATTATGTATCGGAGTGTAAATATATACTGTATGCACATACATACTAAGGTCACATAAAATAAATTAATCAAATAATACTTAGAATTTGAGAAAATGACTGGAATTGGTGAATTTCTTTGTTTAAATTCACCGACTTACTATTATTTAAATTATTGTTTTTATTGACTCATGAAGTTAGATTATTCTTTACGTTAGGTTTGGATATGTTTATCTTAATTGATAAAAGCAATCAGATATCCTTAGATATCCATAAATATCTTGCCATAAAAAAGAAAAAAAAAAAAAAAAAAAAAAAGTTAATTAAAAAATGAACTTACATAAACTTCTGTGCGTATGTTTGTTTAGGGTTTGACAAACTTGCCTCTTAAATCGTTCATTGCACAATAATATTAACTGTCACCGAATGTTCTCATCTATTTACACATGCTTAAAAAAAAAAAAAAAAAATTAACCAAATAAATAAATTAGAAAATTATTATATAAATAGATAAATTCGTCCATTTTTAACCTCCTTGCTCCTTTTGTACTTAAGTGCACATTCTATCAATTAACAATGGTAAATATTTTTAGAAAAACCTTTCGGCGGTTGGCAAAAATTTGCAAAAAACGACAAAAAAAACAAAAAAAAGAACGTTCAATCCCTATTGAAACAACCAAAATATTATCGGACGAGTGCATTCAACATGTATTCAAGTTTGTTGGAGATAAAGGACTTTATTCTTGTTTATTTGTGAATAAAAATTGGAGCAAGAATGCAATTCCCATCTTATGGAGTCGACCATTTCATAATTTATCTCCAGAGTATCAATCCAAATTATTACCAATATATCTTGCGTGCCTTACAACCGAAGAAAGAGCAGCATTAAAACGAATCTTTGGAAAAATCAAGATAAAGATACAAATACCAAAACATAGACTTACCTATAAATACGAAACATATTTACAAGAACTTTCATTTAAAGATTTAGAAAGTGCAGTATTTTCGTGGCTAAGCTCGTCATTACGTAAACCTATTAAAGACACATATAATGTAAATGAGCAAATAGAACATTTAACATCATTATTATGCACATTATTCTTTCGATCGAGTAAGAATTTAAACACATTTATTATTGATAAATTCTTACCTTTTGCGAATATTCCGGATGCTGTAGTATTTCATGAATCAGGAATTTTAACACGACTTAGAAAACTTCAAATAAATTTTCGAAAAGCAGAAAGTATTATAAACTTATTAGAATCTTTACATATGCATTGCAAAAATCTTGAATATTTAGAAATTAATTTTATAGAATTTGAAAATGAAGAAACAATATTTAGTTCAGTATCAAATCTTATTAGTCAACAAGAAAGATTACAAGAGCTTCGATTAGGATATATTCAATCCAATAACGGCACTAGAACAATATTAGCATCAATTAAATCACAAGTTGATAGTATAAAATCGATTCATTTAAATACAGTTAATTTTAAAGGAATCAGTTTAAAGATTTTAGGAACGTGTCCAAACTTAAAGAAATTAGTATTTTGGAATTCACAAGGACTTGGCGTACAAAATGCAAAAAGTTTACAAGATTCAACATATCAATTAGAAAAATTACATTTATGGGGACAACGAAAACAATCAAATATTTCAGCCATAATAATTCAAGAAATTGGAAAACCCGTTAAACAATTGTGGATAGATGTTGTATCTCCGGAAGTAGTTCAAGCAATCATTGATTATTGCCCACAACTAACTGACCTTCGAATAATTGATTATCAACCAAAACAAGTTCCATCTCTTTTAAATTTACTTAAAGACATTAATCAATTAGAAAAACTTACAATTACAAGAGAAACTGTAGTTGAAATGGGAGTTATAAACTTTTCGGGAAAAAATATCCCAATTAATCTTAAATATCTCCGATTAGAATGCGGATTTACTACAGGACAATTAGAAAAATTACTAATGACTTGCAAAGCACCTTTGAGAACATTAATTGTAGAATATTGTAAATTTGAATTTGCACATCTAAGGGTTATATCAGAATACATCAAGACTACCAAAAATTTGAAGGTACTTGGGATCGGAGGGAAGAAAGAATATAGCCATAGAGAATTAAAGGAAATTGAAAGGTTGGAAAAAAATTATGGAATTTATGTCATTCCTTTACGTGAAGTTCATGATTGGTAATTTATTACACCGCTATTTACACCGCTACTTTCACCGCTATTTTTATTTATTTATTTATTTATTTATTTTTTGTATATATCATATATTTTTAGAATTTAAAAAAATTAGTCGATGTTTTACAAAAATTCGTTACGAAAACGAAAAAAAAAAATTCTTTCTCACGCCACGTAGCACTTTTTTTTTTAATATTATAATCAATTGAGGTAAAGACTTACAAATATTTTGTAAACATGTAATCTCATAAGTGCTACGTAACGTGCATGAAAACACTTTAGATACTGTGATTGTCAATGGATAACCTTTTTTAAATAAATCTCTTTACTACCCTATTCATTGCGATAAATGTCTTAATCACTGCGGAAATCTTTTTTAGTAAGACAACTTTAGAAAAGATTTACCTTCGTTTCTCCGTTATTGAACTTTATTGGTCGCGCAATGCCGCCTTTTTCTATAGAGATATCCGCCTTTCCTATTTTGATATCCGCTTTTTTATATTCAAATATACAATAAAAAGAAGTGTACTACTAAATCAAGACAATGTTTAACAAATAAAGGATTTTGATAGATGTTACATGTAAACTTTTGTTCAGCAGTTGATTCTTGCTTTATTTTATTTGTTTTAGTTTTAGTAAACTTAAATTTATGTAATGATAGTTTCAAAACTAACAAAAAAATAGTATATTTAGAGAATAAGTATGTCGTAGTTTAAAAAAAACTAGATTTTATGATTTATGATTCGAATTTCGGAATATAGATTAAATAAGAGAACTAATTTTAATTGAAAAAATATGATTTGTAAATATATAGTTTATTTTCAAACAAAATAAAAAAAAAAACTTCCCTATTTCTGAAACATCAATGATTTAAGGATAGCAGTAATATCACAAATCGAAATTAAGACTTTGCCATTTTCATATAAGTGGGTTCATATATGTAAGGGATATAAATCCCTAAAATGCCACATAAAGTTAAAAGGTGTCCCGGTAGCTTGGCTTTTTATGTTTTAATGTATATATTTATTTATATATATATTTATTATAATCATCCCCGGAATTTTTAGGTTTAGGTTTACGAGAATAATAACATATCTAGCATGGAACCAGCGCAAATTGGTTACCCGGATCACCTGCATGATTTTAAAATCGTGTAACCAGTTAAAAAAAGTTGGTTTGGCTTTTCTATCAGCTTTTTTTAAGGAAATTCCACTTTGATCTGGTCTTATTAATATCGGTCACGTGAACGAATTTCATAGCTCATCGGGGGACTTTAACCCAGGCGTAAAATAGAATCCTTATTTTTTTTTTTCTTTCTATTTAAAAATTTCTATTTAAAATTTCTATTTATATACCGATTAATAAATTGCCCAAATCAGGACGAAAATGATCTGTGATATTAAGCTAGATTGTACGTACGTACGTACGTACACGGGTAGACATTTTTATTATAGTACATGGCTATAATAAATTGCCCGGTGATTTAATAATACCCGGGTAGAGATTTTCTTGACGGGTACAATCTCTATGTTAAGCTATGCACTACGAGGATATACCGGTAATAAAATAGATTAAAAGAGTTATCGATATAGATAAATTCAAAAAATTTTGGATACACTAAATAATAAAATAACCAATGTTTTTTGAAATAGAATTCCTTTTAATGTTCAAAAGACTGGTGATAGATTTTTAGTAACTTGGTTGGATGGAATACGGTATGTAAAATAAATATACATAGATACGTATACCGTCATATAAAGAAGCATTAACTAGTTCTGCAAAAATGAGTATATTTTAGTATTTGATAAATGTGTAAATTAATTTAGTTGAATTCTGAAGGTATAAAAAACACTTTTCTACAAAATACTATGCTAATATCTTTAAATATTCCCAATAATCAATTTGATGTTAAAGAGGGATGGAAGCTTTCTCTACAAACAGCACAAAAATCAGTTTCAAAAATTTTTGAATTTTTTAAAGCTTCGCATATGATCTTGATTTACTTGAAGATTTTAAGATGGACACTTTTGCTACGATCAAGTTACGCATCATATATGCGCATTATTAATATTGGGGTCTTTTCCTTGAAAATCACCCTCCGACATTTCCGATCGGGCTAATTCGGGCAAAAACAAATCCGTATAATAGTTCACGTTTATATTCGAATCTCCTTTTGCCTTTTTATTCGAAACTTTATTCTATAAACTAATGAACCATAAAGACAAAAAGGGGTTTACATATAAACATGAACTAATAC